TTGAGACGATGTCTTGAAACCTTCCGGACGGATAAGAACAGGATCCGGGCAAGACAAGATCAGGCAAACTTGCCGCGACAAGTCTAGAGATAAGGCTCGATAAGCAAAACACACTAGTAATCCTCTCTCTTGTATTATTGACTCACATGAAAGGTTCTTCGACTGCTTAGATATCTATTCTTTCTTACCCTGTTCCTATTCAATCACAAGAATGCCAGAAGCGTCGACCAGATTGACGGGAGGAAGATGAAGCACAAGATTCATATACCAATGTGAGTTATTCTCTCCCGATAGGAAGGCTTGATATTTTGAAATACTGATCTCAGGTGTTCGACCTTAAGGTTCGGGATCTCAGGTAGTAATTAAGACCTACCAGGCCTTGTATCATTTGAACTCGGTCGCTAGTTAAGCTTACACCATCACCTCATGATGAGATAAACTACGCTGTAGCCGAACATGGTGGTTTATTCACAAGTTATACCTTTATTCTATTTCTATGTTGCTGCACAACTCTTATTCTTGATGATTGATATGGTACGTGGCGATATGCCAACAGAAGCCACGGCACAATAGTCTTTACCGAGTGATAACTTATGAAAGACGGAGCCAAGAATTCGACACGTACATACAATAGAACGCAACGTGCGATGCAACCAAACACAAAAAACTCCCGCCCCTGTCACTTCTACCACATGCTTAGGTAGAGCTGAAACGTGATGAGTTATTAATTTGGGTTGAGTGGCACAACATACAGTACCATCAAATCTACCCAGATATCTAATACCACACTTCTGCCCTGCAAGTATCCTCTAATCGAGAGGATCTGCCTTGTTGATCACACTCGATGTGGGGCGTGGAGATGTGCAGCCAGATGAGATATTAAGTCTAAGCATACGCGTTGGGCATTTGTGGAAGCATATGCTTGTGTTTCTAATCAACCAATGGTTTCATAATGAAACCTCTTCGTCCCGCCCCCACAAGCAGTTGCTCGGGAATAGAAGGGAACTTGCAGTGCAGTCTCTTTTCCCCACCCTGAGGTTAATTGACTCGGATCCGGATGGATTGATGCTAGTGACTGTGATTGGGAATAGGTATGTCGCCGTTTTCTAATGACGAGTGATAATTGGTGAGTACATTTACCGTGGGTGAAACTAAACTGCTGCTTGTCACTCGTTTAGGCACTGAATCAAGTGATATATTATTAGCAGAGATAAATAAAGGACGTTGGTGATTACCCGCCGTAATAATTAATTATAAGCCTCCTGCCTATCAGACTACTAACTATATGCGACTATCCCAGCCTTTTCTAAAGGGCGACGTGTAGTTATCGGTCAGGAATACTAAGAGCACTCACCCGCTTCAGGCAGGACGATCTAGTAACAGCCACATTACTTCTTTGGAACAGTACAGATCTTACCGTCCCAGTCCCGAAACTTTTAAACCCTCCATGCTGCCGATCCCGCGCCGCCGGCGATTACTGATTACCGTGCGGCATACCGAGAACATTTCCAGCCATCCGGGCTGGTTCTAAATAACGCCTCTGATCGATCTCCTCCGCATCCAATATTCTGAAACCCCCCCAACCATCCAGCCTACGACCTGCCAGCTGAAGCTTGCCACGCCGTCAACTAAAGCACTTTGGTTAGACAACATCACAATCACAGGTTAACAGTAGAGAACCGGCTACCGGCTCAGAAAGCCCTGATGTAAATCAACCTCTAATCCCAAAGATTAACAGATAACATTTGCTAGATGAGGGTAGAGTAGATAGGCAGAGGCCTACTGCTGCCGCTGTTAGTTTTCTGATTCCTATTCGATCCTAGAGGGGATAATTTTGCACCTATTCAACATTCAACATGCGCAGTTACACCCGCCCAGAAGAAAAAAATATTTGTGTGGCGCATAGCTGCATATCATGCTTACTCCTTAAAAAACACGCGGACGCGATTGATTGATGCGGTAAAATACGCTGCTGCGATAAGTAGGCCAAAAATTTCTTCTTTACGGCGCTCTACTGTAAACGCGGGGACGGACATGATGAACGGCCCATAATAAGCCGGTTCGTAGGCACCATACTCCACATACATACTTTCTCTTACTGTGCATGCTCTAACACAGGTGTATTAGAGCAGTTATGAGACCGGCTATGTATATGTAGGCACTCAGCAGGGTGTTCTTCAGCAGCCTGCAAAGACTATCCCGACCAAAGAAGAAAAGAAAAAAAAGTACCGGCGAAGATGAAACTCCAAAAGCCCCATGCAGTCCAGTCTGAAAGGCCACCTCTTCTGATCATCCATCCAACCCATAGCATCTCCCGCCCCCCTCAACCCCACCTCATGTTCTCTCCCTCCCTCCCCCACCACACCCCCACAGAGCCTCATCGTGCTGATCGGACGAACTTCGAAACACAACCCACCACACCCTTCTTCAATTCCAAACCACACCTCGGCAATCTCGCAGTACCCGATGCCATGGCATGGCACACAAGGCTGCTGTGGCGTTGCTGATATTCAGAGCCACCCACACCCTCATATGTCTAAGCCACACATACTGGGTTATGATCGCTGACCGACCGACCAAAACGTTCTTCACACACGGAGACGCCCCCCGCGGTACAGAAAAGAGGGGGTACGTTCTGAACGGTGGCATGACGCGTTCAAAAGTACGGTGAGTGAGGGGCACACAAGAACATAGCCCAGAGCCGCATCATCAGCACGTGATAGACTTCAAGGCTGATTGATCATGAGCTCATTGAGAACGTCTCAGATAAAAAAAAAAACCTGCTACCTAAGTAACTATTAGGGCAACTTAGAAGCGTGTGCTGTTTGGGGAGAAAGGTTAAAAAAAAAAAAAAAAAAAAAAAAATGGGCGCGCGCAACGGTCGCGGTTATGCACATATGGAAGGGGTGGATGGGAGGGGGGTCAATGATCGGAGGCCAGGCAGACAGAGATGTGCAGCCCCACAGTTGAGGTTATACCTGATTCTCTCACCCGCACCCAACTACATGTACCCAGCATAACACACACACTCACTAACATAACACAGGAAGATTACGAAAAAAAATTCTCCGAACATTCAACCCAGTTGATACCTTTTTATAATCCTCGTGCTTAACGAACCTTAAAAAATTCCAGTGAGCTGGGGGGCAGAGTTACAGAATGAACACTTCATTATCCCAACGCAACCTTGAAAACCCAGTCCGCCTCGAACCTGCAGCCTCTCTACCCCCCGCCCGTAAGAGGTTGTCACTTTCTTTCATCAGAGTGATGAAATGCCTTGGGGTACAATGAGGCATGCCACTCACTCATTCCAGAAGAGTCTAGACCTAGGCGTACAGCCTGAAGAGCCTCAACCGACCCACCGTCGAACTACTGAGCTATGTACACATGTACATACATACATACATGAACTACATCATCCAAGCTGCCTGCTGCCTACATTTTAAACTCAGGGTGTCCCCCTTATCCAGTTCGAAACGCTCATGAGGCAAATGACAGCTGCACGCCCTGAAAAAAATATGATATTTTTTTCTGCTCGTATAATAATAATAACAACTACCTAGACAGTACAGCTAGCCCCCATCTTCATGATTCATCACTCGGTACCACAAACCATGCTCATCCACTCGTTCAGAGACACGAAGGTGTCAGAACAGAAATAGGTGGGTCTTCAGCCAAAAAAAAACCTCTCCTCCCCCCGCTTGGTGGTGATGATGATGGAGGTTGGGGTTTGTTGTTGCTGCTGTCGCTGTCGCTGTTGTTGTGCATATGATCGTGCTCGAGGATCAAGGAAGTTAGCTTCAGTTCACCTGAGCACAGACTGATCGGATGGCCCTGCCTTCATCGCGAGTCTAATTCTCCTGTTGGGAGATAGCGTGCATATCGCTCATTGACACCTCACTCAACCTCTATTTTTTTCTCCCCCTTCGATCAGCTGCAAGTGTAGCCCCAAATGAAAAACAGAGCAGTTGTTAAGTTATATCGTCATTTTCGCCCCTGGGCTGGCTGGTCGTTATTGAGATTTCTTTGTATTTAATATAATTTTTTTATATATATTGTGTGTGCTCTATATACGTATCATATCATTTTTTTGGTTACTTGTACTTGTACTTTGTAGAATATTTTAGTTTCAATTTGAATTTTTTTTTCCGTGATTCAATTCATCCATGAAAAGCATATACAACCTTCTCCCAGCTCTTTTCTGTCTGTCCTCTTTCTTTCTCTCTTTCTCTCTCTCCCCCAATGTAGTCTATCTATCTGATAACCGACAAGTATGCCAATTTTCCTAAAACAGATGATATCGACCAACAACCACCCCCCCAGAGAGCAAAGCAAAGCCAAGAAAAGAAAACACGGAAATGTATTTTCACAATCTAATACTCGATCCCCTCGCTGTTCGCATCCCTCTGGTCCTCTTGGATCCGTGATGCAGAACAGTAACCTTGGGGAGAGAAAAGGAAAAAAGGAAAAAAATACTACAAAGGAAATAAAATAAAAAAAAACCCTCCCAAGATAAATGAACAAAAAAAAAGCATCGCTCATAAAATAAAATAGAAATAACCCCCATGAACAAAAAAGTTTAAAAATTCAAACCGACCCCCGGTAACGAATGAAAAGAAGCCAATAAAAAAAAAAGGATAGCAAGCCGACCACATGCAGAAAATGCGTCAGAAAAAAAAGCAAAACCCCGACCAATCCAATCCCGAGATCAAACCAAAAAAATGAAAGAATAAACATAGAAAGAAAATGAACTAAAAAAATAGCACAAAAAAGTTGACAAAGGAAAATCCTTAAAACCCATAAATGATTTTTTTCTCTGAATTTTTTTTTGTTTTCGAGGTCGTTTTCTTTCGCCGGTTGTTGTTGTTGTTTTCTCTGTGTAGTAGTCTATTGTCCGCCGTAGACATGTCTCCGTTGAAATCGTATATATTCACAAAAGAAAGTAGAGGTTTAAACAAAAAAAAAAGCTTCCACCACCCTCCGAGCCAAGCTTCAGTTGTCTAGAAGCCCAGCCGCCTGCCCATCCGCACCATGCCAATCCTGACCCACACCACGAAGCCCAACCACCGCTTCTTGAAACCGGGCCTCCTCTCCTTCCCGACACTCCACCTCTTCCCTCCAGTCCCGGTTCCCGCACTCTGAACTCTTGGCCTTCCACGCTCCTCTGTGCAGTCCTCCTCAAGCACCTTCTCGGGGAAGCTGTTTGGCAATTCGTCGTCGTCCCAGACCGTCCCCTTGCTGCCGTCCGAGTTGCCCCTTTCACGGCCTGAACACCTAGAAGTGGCACGTGATCTCTCTTCACCCTTGGCCTCTGAACGCCTACGCTTGCGTTCCCTCTTCTCCTCCTTCTTCTCCTCCTTGGCCTCCCAAGCCAGACGGGCTGCTGTAACAGACGCTGCAAATCCCGGTGACGGATCACGCACTGCACGGCGAGTTGTCTCGGATGATGTGCGGCCGATGCGTGACCTCATCAATGAGGGAGCTCTGCTGCCGGTTGGCGATGGTTGCTGGGGGATTGTTACGACCGACTCGAGCGTCGATGATCTGATGGGGGGAAGCTCCAATGGCGAGACGGGAGAGACCGGTGTAGTCAGGGTGCTAGTGCTGATACGTCGATTGTGCAGATCAGTCAAGCTGCTAGTGGGCAGCATTGGGGTGCTGCGTCCGCCCGTGTTCAGCTGTAAACTTGCTCTGATCGACCTACTGCCCCCACCACTTCCCTGCAGAACGTTACGGCGGGTTATGCTCTCATCATCAGACTCGTCGCTCGACTCGTTGGACGTGTTGTAGTGTGAAACCTCTGGCGTGTATGCACCGCGACGGGGGACCTGTCGCTTAGGGTGTGCAAAGGGTGCATTAACAAGCAACGGCGAGTTGCCGCTAGTGCCGGAAAAGTTGCGTCTGTGACGGTTGGAGTAGGGCGAATCCTCGTCAACCCCGCTTGAGTCGCCTGCGTTGTCAAAGATTCCCAATCCGACACCACCTGGGAGCCCCCCATCCGACCTTGACAGATCCAGCGAGTTCCCACGCGACGAGCCACTGACCTTCTTGAGCAGTGGCTTTATCTTGCCACGTGCCTTGTGAGCTGAGGTTGCCGAATGGTGGGGGTAGTACTGCTCCAGAGGCGGTGAGCCGGGGCCCGAGAAGAAGCCCTCGTCGATAACATCGTCTGCGAGCTGTTCAGATGATTTTTTGGCGTTGTCTGATCGGCTGCGCTTCAGTCTTGAGGCTGCCTTTGAGACGTGGCGGGCGGCAGCTAGTCCAGGGTTGAGGCGTGGTGAGGGCGAGGATGATGTTGAGATAATCGAAGGTGGGCCAGTCGAGCGATAAGCTGCTGTTGTGGGAACAGCAGATGTAGATGAGGGGTAGATGTAACCGGTCGCAAACGACGGAGGGGTTGTAGGAGGTTTCGCAGTTGTGGGCGAGATGGCGTGCGGATGCCGTGGGGGGTGGTACTGATGTGAAGGAACAGTAGACGAAGACATGGTTATTGTTGAAGGTTGTGAATATAGTTGTTGTTGTTGTTACAGACTCCTCCAGGTAGTTGGTGGTGCTGCTGGGTGGGGGGTTGTTGAAGGTGGAGGTTTTCGACAATATAAAGGAATCACAGATATAATGTAGGTAGACAGAAGGGGGAGGAGAGCCCCAGAGTTTGTATGAATACCAAGAACCTCGAAAGCGACTGACTGACTGACTGAAGCCTGGCTGACTGACGACGACAATAAAGGCGGAGCAAGCAGGGCAGACAACGGGGGAGAAGAGGGAACGAGGCCCCAAGGGAAATAATAGTAAATGACGAACCAAGCGGGCGGTCGCAGCAAATTGCTGTGGCTGCTCACTGTACCTTTCAAGTGATCTCAATGAGCCAAGAGAAATCCAAGAAAGCAGCAAAGGCACCCCTCAGATTTTAAGATCCCGGATACGTCCTCCGTGCGGTGCAGCTGCCGATCCGGTTTTCGCTCAATGCGACCAACGAACCGAGACGACCAAAACACTCGTCGACACTTTCCCTCTTTCTGCTGCTTTCGCAACAACAACCAAACGTTCTTGATCTTTCTGCTTGCTTGCTTGCACTGCTCTTGCTTGCTTGCTGTTGCTTGCTGATACTTTCTCAACAAACAATAACAAACACTCACACACGCGCTCACACACTCACACACTCACACAGAGAGGAAACACACAACCGAGAAATGCTCAGAGCACGCAGAGAAAAATAGCACCCCCTCTCCCAAAAATATTAAAAAAAACAAAACCAGTGGATAGCTCTTGTTTCCCCACCCCTTAATATTTTTTTTCCTTTTTCCCCCGCGCGGCGGTACCCGAAAAGGTAGGTGGGCTGAATGAAATAAACTAGGTATTTGCCTGCACAGAAGAATGCTGATTCGAGGAGTACTTGTGGCTTTCCTACTAAGAAGTGAAGAAGCCTATGCCCCAAATAAAATAAAATGTTCCTTAAAAGAGAAGCTGAAATGAGGCTGTAAAATCAAACAATAGAAATTGCTTAGTTAGCAAGGTGTAATTACGGGGTGTGTTTGATTTGATTCCCGAGTGGAGAAAGGTCATGGACTCATAGAAGGGCGGGGAAGAAGAAGGGAAGGGGGGGGTGGAGGGGGCTCAGATAATTACCAGCTGAAAGACCCATGAGACGATGCAGCTTGGATCTTCTGTAACAACGAGTCGCGATGAGATGAGGTGAGAAAATCAATTCCACGAAAGCTCTGAAAACCATCAAAAGTACTGCTGGGTTAGCAAGATACCAGCTAGAAAGTTCTGATCACGGAAGAAAGCGGAAGAAGGGGAGGAGGTATATAGAAAAGAGCAAAAAAAACACAAATCATGTTTCTTTTCTCTAATGGGGTCGTTGATTTTTCCTCAGGGCTCTCTCTTTTGGGTTAAGAGAGGGTGAAAAAAAAAAAGAGCTCACCTCTTGACTTGCTAGTTGGTTGCCGTGTGTAGCGGTAAGAGGTCAGTTGAGCTCCTGTTCCTGTGGTCCTATTGACTGATAGGTAAACACAGCCCTGTTCTCTTTCTCTTTCTCTTTCTCAACAACTTTATCTCCACACCACAAAATAATTAAAAAGAATTTAACAGCAAGAAAGCAGCCCTGTTCTTGTTCTTGATTCTTGGTCTCGCCTTTTTTAATTTCCTTGGCCCAGCCCTGGATATATGAGAACAGGAGGCAACAACTAAGATATAGTATATGGCGGGGGTTGGAATGGATAAGAAGTTAATGGGTTGAACGAGTGGGAAATGAGGCCGAGATAAGTAGATAGAAGGGATGATGGAAGAAGAGAAGAAAGTGGGGTGTCGGTAGGCCGGTTGATGGAACGAAGTGGGGAGTCGAGTTACTAGTGGTGAAAGGCTAGGAACTCCCGGGGAGAAATGAAGCAATCAAGAGAGCAAGTGTCCTTCTTGGTTGGATAGAGAAGATAGAGTGGGGTGGGAGAGAGAGAACGAACAATCGGTCTCTAAAGTAAAAGAATCGTTCAACAAGTGGTCACTCTTGCTTTCACTCTCTAACAACTCTCAATCACTTATCTGTGTTCTACCTCTCCCTTCGTTGAAAAAGCAAGGAAAGTGAAAAAAGGCAACTCTACGATGGAGACGGATATGAAGAAGCAACTCTTCTGGGAACACACGGGAACAAAACAGCCAAGTCTCCTCCTTCATGTAGGTACGCTGTACTGTGAAAGTGAGAGAGAGAGAGAACTGTGCATCGCTTCACGCATCGACAACAACACCTTGAACGATATGTGCTCAGTAGGGACATGTTTAGACACACTTTAACCCACCCCTCCCCTTCCCCTTCCTTCCTTCCTTCCTTTCCCTCCCCCTACGCTTTACCACTCGAGTTGCACCACTCCCTGGTTAGCTAGCCGAGCTGTCCACCACCACCACCCACTCAAGCTACCAACCTAACCCTACTGACATCTCCGCAGAACATATCTCCGTAGGGATTATTCGATGCAAGCTGTGCATGAGCATGAGCTTTCTTTCTCCGTTTCTATGAACAGTAACTACATCCTGAGATCATAGTGAACAACGTCGACGAGACTGGTTTAGAACTGCTCTCCCTCTCCTTCCCTTTCCTAAAGGGTAGAATTGTTCCACTCTAGAAGCCCTAGATCTCCTCCTCCTTACTCCACCAGTTAGTTGTAAGTACTACCTGCTGTCACCACAACCATACAATCGATCAATTGAACGACAGCCAACAAAACCGCCCATCGCCCCCCATCCCCTCCACAGCTCCACAATCACAATGTTCATCACGGATGTAGATACGTAGGGAGGTCTATTGTTCGATTGACTAGACCATAGGGACCCCCAATATCAATCATGCTGTCGTCAACACCTGATCATACTCTCGGGCTCATCTCCCCTCTCGAGCTCCTCCTCCTCCTTCCCCCACCTCTCCTCCTCCTTCTCCTCCTCCAATCACTCTTGTCGCGCGACTAGGAAAAAATAATTATTTTCATCTACATACACGTGCATGTATCCATCAACTGAGTACTTACTCTATATCAACTCCAAGTATATCTCCACTAAGCGCGTTGTTTACCACCCAATTCCCCCCCGGCCAGTATACCCCCACCACCTGCCTACATACCTGCTTGCCTGCCCGCCACCCACCCACTCACCCGTTTCGTTTCCCTCCCCAGTATACGCCATTCCCTGTTTGTCCACCATCCCCATCCCCATCCCATGGGTCCATTACCCCCCAACCCAAGCGACCACAGCTCTAACCCACAAACGCGTCCTGTGCACCCCGGCTCCGTGAGAAGCAGAACATTCACCCTACCGCTTGCACGAACATGAACATCGGAGACTGCATCAAACGCGCCCATCGTTCCCCCTCCCCTCCCCCTCACCCCCGGGCGCATCGCGTCCACTGTCGTCTGCTCGCAACTACCCGCCCATGTTTAGAAGCTCCAGCCTGAACAACCCTACTCCCGTCCCGGGTCACGTACATAACGTATGGTGATGGGGGTACAGCACCGTACAGTACGGGGCGCAACTCTACATACATCTACAAAAAAAGTATCCCTACGGCTACTGGAAATGTGATGTATATTACCGCCCACCGACACGGCCAGCGAACAACTCACCATAAGTCATCCGGTAGGCAGGTATAAGAAATACAGCAGGTGAAGAGCACAGAAAGAAAAAAAACACGAACATCCAGCAGGTCCCAACTTACATTACCCCATGGCGGGCGGACCATCCCATCCCATGCCTGCCCATGCGGCCCAATCCCCACGTATTCATCCTCTGCCCTAGAATACCCTCAAATCCCTTCTACCATACAAGCCCTACAAACCCCTTCGTGCCCTACAGACCCTACAATGCCCTCCAAATCCTACCCCTAGCCCATCCCCGCGTCGCGCGCCTTATCTCCCATCTGCGCGGGCGGGCCACGAGGGAGCACATACTCTCCTACTCTACCTGCTCTCTCTAGTGTACCACCCATCCACCCCCCATATCGAGTATACCACCCCTCCCCCCATATCGATAAGCAACCAACCATCGCCAACCAACCACCAACCGCCAAACACGCGCACATACCAGCAGCTAGAGTAGAGCTACATGCCGAAAAAGGAAACCCACCCCCCAATTCCGTCACAGCCAGTCCGCACACGGCACGCTAGGACAGCCGGAACGGGGTATGAGGTGCGTCGGCGAGGCTGCTTTGGGCGTGGCTGGTGCGTTGCCTGTGGCGGGGCGCGTGGGTGGGCGCGTGGGTACCTACAATACAATGGGTACTGGCTGATTGTTGCTGGTAGATATGTAGGGCAGGAGGGTGCACGTACGTGAATTGCGTGCAGAGCAGAAGAGCGTGCAGGAGAGCGTGCAGCAGGTGGCGGTGTGTATGTAGGTAGTAGCGTGACTGACCGCTGGACAATGTTTCTAGTTTTCTTTTAGAGTAGGGCTATGGCTGGATACGGTAGCGGTGGAGTTCCATTAGGCGGTAGAGCAGAGTACATGGAGTTAGAAGAGCTTAGAGCAGACTCGCAGAGTATCAAGAGGACACGGACGGAGCTCTATTTTTGTAGAATGCTCGACGTTTGTGGGTTTGTGCAGTGTGAATCTCCGGGTCGATAAACTGACTGATTTGATCGGTATCACTATCTACTCTAGTAAGTTCAGGTATCGATTCCCAGGTCAGTCAGTCAGCCTAGTTAGCTAGTTAGCCAGAGTAGTTAGCGACAATTGACTACGGGCCAATCATCACCAGAGATCCTGTAGCTGTTGCTCTGCTGCCTGTTGCTGTTGTTGCCTCTTGTTGCCTGTTGTTGTTGTTGTTGTTGCTCCCCCAGCTACTTTTCTACGTGCTGTCTCTAGCTAGCTACTCTACTCTCTCTACACAGACCGTATTCCCAATATTTGCCTCCCCTCAAACGCTGGACAGCCAGCAGCTAGAGTGCATAGGAAAGAAGCGCAACTTTCAACTCCAAGCGACCGGTACGTTCCGCCTATTCTGTCAGCACGGGTACCCTTAAGCCCTAGGTACTCTACTCTTTTGGCAAACTCTATGTAGTACTCTCTGACAAACGCTGTGATCTGATCGGCTGTTTCCACAGTCCTGGGTTAGGTTAGAGCATCATCGCACTCTACTTAGATTGGACACACCCTCCCCGCCCACATCCAAATCCACATCCAGGGAGAGACGTGGTGTAGAGGGAAAATGTGGTAGAGATCCCAGATGATCGATTTCCTTGTTAATGTAGATGGTAATGATGATATCATAAGCTCCGTCGTTGCTTCTCTTTCTTGTTGCTTTTGGCAACAAAAAGTTGTTTTGCTTGTTTTTTTACTTGTTTTTTTTGTTTTTGTTTTTTGTTTACACTCACTTTTCAATCGATCGATTGGTAGGTGGGTAGAGTACCCAGATAGACCTACCATGGATCGTTCGTACATACGTGCGTTCGTGCTTGCAGGACTAAAGCAGAGAGCAGCACACGTTCCCGGGAACAAACCACAACCGCAACCGCAACCACAAGGACGGAAACATCGTGGTCTGTTCGCCGGTAACAGCCGGTGGACATGTGCACCCTCATCCTCCCCCTTAGCCACCATAGGGCTTCGGGCTCAGGGCATGAGCGAGCAGAGAAGAGGCAGGTCCGTTTCGTTTCGTTTCCGGATCGCCAGGCACCACGATAGTTTGGTGGGAGTGTGGTGTGGTGTGTGTACCGGAGTGTTTCCGTCGGCGAAGGTGCTGTTCATCGTTAGTTGTGTGGTTCTAGGCCGGAAGCAGCAAGAGAGCTGTTTCTTTGCGGAAACACCCACCCCTGTTTCTGTTCCTGTCTGTCTGTTTGTGGGCGCCGGCCGAGCCGTTTATGTTCTACCTATTCCATCTGGCTGTGTCTATTCCATCTCTGGCTGTTCTGTATGCAGGGCCCGCACCGACCCCAACACCGACACAGGGGCAGAATAATGGAGCAGGGCAGCTAGCGTGAATGCACGGGCACATAATTTCTTCTGCGCGAAATTCTAGAAGATTGTTTTGTTTCATTTCCTTTCCAATACGCCCACTATACCCATACCCGGCCCAGCTAGAGGGTGTAATTTCCTGAGCTTCGGGATCGCGTGACACCGGGTGGATCTTTGGGTGTGGGTACTCTATGGACAGGGCAGGGGGGGAGAGAAGATTGGAAGTGTTCTCTTTTTAATTTCGGCGGGTTTGACAGTGGTGGTATGGGCTGGCATGGGGGGAGATGGCAGCGGGAATTTGGGATTCGATCATCTTGGGGGTTATTTGGGATTCTTGGGGGTGGCTAATTACCTGTAATTAGGGTTGGAATTGGTGCTGCTGAAGAGGGATAAGTTTCTTCGGGGGAAAGATTGGGGGTGTACTAGCTGTGGCGCTGGGGATATTGGGGGAGATGGGGAGAGGGATGGGGGAGATGAGCGTGTGTGCGATAAAGTAGCGGCGGTGCGTGTTCTGGAAGAATACTACGACTAGCATGTAATTATAATGTTAACCTTCTCCTCGGGACACAGCTCTCCGGGAATTAGCATAGCACACTCACTGATACCTCCAAGCTCCGGATTCAATCAACGATAGACGGTTTCCCTGGCCACTCGGACACCCCACTCGCTCGGACAATCAATGATGATTGGTGGAGAAGAGGTACAGAAGCCACTTACAACGTTGATCTTCTCTTTTCCACGGTAACTGTCTGAGTGAGGGGTGTCCGAGTGTCCAGGGAAATTTAACCGTCTACCTCCAAATCCTAATCGCAAGAACATCGAGTGATACCCCATGCCCTGCTCTCGCCCCACCGATAGAAGTCACAAGCTCTCACTCGGGACAGAGGGGGGGGCAGTACGGTGTAACCGCTTGTACATAAATTGCACTTGCACTTCTCCTGAGTCACAGTTGTGCTTTGGAGGCGAATGTGCCTTGTGTTGTAGGTAAGATCTGACGAATACTTATGGAACCAAAAAGGCGGTGCGGTGATCATGACTAGAAGTAATGCCGCCTAGCTGTACACGGGTAAGAAAAGCGAACCAGCCCAGTCGGCTGAAGTTGGCTGCGGACGTGGAGGATCATGGTTCATCACTCGCAGCGCCACCTGGACTGACGTTCTTGCACTTGATTGATTACTTCATAACGTTCTTGCACTTTCGTATCAGAGATACCGGGCTTTTTTTGGCTGTACCGGAGAAGGGAGATTGATTCACAGCGTCGCTGGCCGGCTATGTAGTATTACTATAGTGCGAACCGGTACGCCCCGGGTATATGTATGGCTAGGCCTGTAGGGTCGGGCACTGCTACGGTGTTGATACGGTATAATTTGTTCTCAGAGATGATATTTGTAAAGCAAATTAAAGTAAAGAGCGCCCGAGAACGTAGAAATGTATTCTATGAACAGATAAGTAGAAACACGAAGAGGGAGAGAAGGTTCCCTCCCTATAATATATAGCTACAGTTTAGAGAATACGATGGCTGTAGATAAAAGGATAGATATAATAAGTTTTGAACTACGTCTAAACGACATAATGAAACGTTTAACAATTTAATTACATAATTAACAATATAAGTATCTACTATTACAATGACTTGCCGCGATTAACATAATTGTTAGGATCTTGGTTTAATTCGGAGGTTTAGATAATTCCGTGTTGCTGAAGTGCCTATTATGTATACATGTATCTACTGTATTGCTTTGTATGAGTTTTTCTAGATGAGTGCGGGGAATGACCAGACTCGACCTACACCATCTCAATGACCGAGAACTGCACGCAGCATGTAACTAGCGATCGGGTCGGACTCATATCACCAACTCTCGCCACAAGGATATGAAATAAATACGAGACACCTCCATGAAGCATATCCTTCCAGAACATCATTACCAATACAACAGAGAAACCGAACGATACTCTATCTACCCTCTGCCCTCGTTCTATCTTTCACCAACACCATATCAGACCGTTCTGCCATTCAAAACAAACACGTGTGCCATAACCTACGGGCCGCATACATGTATACACGAATGAATTATCAATCAATCAATCAATTCAAAACAAACCTAACCCTTCTATTTCTATATATATATGGATGCCTATAAACGTTATTAGATATCACAATGGGCCAAACACCCGTATCTACCAGTCGATCCCGGACACCCTGAACAGGCGGGATATCTTTATACAGAGAAACCTATCATAATTCCACCCTCTCGAAATTCCATCCCTACCGAGCTTTCAGCGTTCGGAGGGAACGGAACCTGTGTTTCGCTAACAAATGCCAATCTCTAAACTCCATCCCTACGATACTTCCAGCAAAGTTCGGTCACCGTGGGGGTGGAATTATGGTAGGTTTGCTGTATTTACCGACACTATTCTCATGGCGAGATTTTACTGTATCCCTTACGCTGTTAAGATTGCCAAATTTGCCAAGTATCATGCGACTTGCGTGAAAAGCCCACCTAATGTCACCATGCCCCAAGTTAGCAGCACTGAAGTAACAGCTTCAAGGATACCAAAGCTTAGCTCACCTTGCCCCATATATCCACAACCCCCAAACAACTGCACGCAAGACCGCCAATAACAACCCAAGTGATCCCAAATGACCTCAGGCACGGCTGGGCGTTTCCGATAACTACTAGCTAGCGGCGCTCTTTAGAACGTAGGACATAGCTAAACTACATGTACTTGTATCTCCATATTTAGCGCTCACAAAAGTTCTAAGCCTAGCACATGGATGCAGTCAAGATAAGATACATCCATGTAGCTCTTTGTGGGCTTCCTTTTGTCGGTTATAACATGGTGTAAGCTCGATCATCCATGACTGGCCATGCATGGTGGTGCTAATTAACCCTGTCGTGTATTTACATCATGAGGCATCACTCGACGCTAGGTGTCAGAAAACCTTATTCCCACCGCCCCGTACCCAGAACCCCCTGTGTTATACAGCCCCATCGGTTTTTGTGTCGTTATGCTTAGGCTCCTGAATAGAGGAGTGATATCGATAAGCATGGTCCGCGTCTGTATACTAAGAAATACATAATCGGACTATACCAGCTAGCTAGTTTACGTGTATTGAAATATATTTTTGCGCTGCGCAGTACACAAGAGTAAAGAGGTGACATGAGGATCCAGAGTTACGTGCAGCACACAGCCATTTTCCGGAACATTTCTTGCCTAGATTTCCATACGCTTAAGCAAGAAGGAATGATCGTTAGCAAGAAGGAATGATTGTTAGCAAGAAGGATCGAATGATCATTATGCGAGAAATGTTAGTTATGTAACTACAAGGCAAGAATTGTTCCTGACTAACTACATACTTACATACCTGTAGTTATAATATTATGTGCATGAAGCCAATAATTAGCCGGGTTTCGCACAAAAATAACCACATGTACTAATACCGGTAGCAACACTTACAAATCTGGAGAAATGGGATACTGATAACCTTAATTACAAGAAATATTAGTTAGACAACTAGATTAGATTTCTGGTGTCATTATTAGTGTAGCATTCTTAGGGTGGCTATGTTGGACCCGTTGGTGGATTAAGCAGACAATACATGTAGGCTTGAACATATGAGAAAATACCAGCTTCCGTCTAAAAACGTATGACTATCGATATCTTATTCAGCTCATGCTAGTCTAGTATTAACGTATGGAGTGTGGTAGGTGGACGCTGATGGTCCACCCGTAAAAGTCCACCAACGGACCAGAACATGCGCATAATCTAATCGCGATAATCTAATCAGTAGCCTATCTAATCAGATTCACTTATCACCGCAATCAATAGGCCTCCCACTAGATAGCAATAATCAATCAATCCTCACAACTCCCACGCAGGCCTCCCACTAGATAGCAATAATCAATCAATCCTCACAACTCCCACGCAGGCCCACCCCATGCGCCGTCCTCCCCTCTCTCTCTCCTTCTCCATTCCACATCCCCGCAAAATCCACACACACTCCACCCTCCTCTCCAAACCTACCATGGCCACCCCACCACGCCGCCCGCCCCTAACCCACTTCCTCAGCATCCCATTACACACGCCCGCCGCCCTCCCCGCCCTCCAAACCGCCCTCTCCGACCTCACCACCCTCCTTGCCCCGCGCCTCCCCGCCGCCGCAATCCGCCCCGCAGTTACCCTCCACCTCACCCTCGGCGTCATGTCCCTTCCCACCCCCGAGCAGGTCCAGTCCGCGGTCTCATTCCTCGCATCTCTAGACCTGCCAGGAATCTTACGCTCCGTGACACCTGCCCCCGCAGCCCAAACACCCCCCCAGCCCGTAGAAGGCCAAACCCCTCCACCCCCACCACCACTAAAGATCACACTCCACAACCTCACTTCCCTCGGCGCCCCGTACCGCGCCACCGTCCTATACACCGCCCCCCACGACGCCACTGGCCGTCTCCCCCGCTTTGCCGAGCACATCCGCTCCCTCTTCGCCGCCGCGGGGTTTTTACTGCCTGAGACGCGGCCGCTGCTGCTGCATGCGACGGTCGTGAACACGGTGTACATCAGCGGCCGTGGGCGTGGGCGCGGGCGAGTGACGTTTGATGCGGCGGAGGCGCTGGAGTGGGGCAGGGGTCGGGTGTTTGCGGAGGAGGTGGAGGTGGCGGGAGTGTGTGTTTGTAGGATGGGGGAGGTGATGGTGGAGGGTGTGAGCCAGGGGTATTTGGAGGTGGGGAGGGGGGTGTTGGGGGATGTATGATGGGTGATGGGCGGAGGAGGAGGAGGGGGAGGAGATATTTGGGGTTTGGGATTGATGTTGGGTGGAGATATACCAGAAAAGAGGACTTGGGTTGTAGTTGTGACCAGATAAAAAACATTTCTGTATTTTTCGTGACGAGTGAGGAGTTGTGTTGCTCGTGCCGAGTGCGCTTTGGTGCTGCCGCCGAGTGCTACCCAATGACGCTGCCATGTAAACGCCTGGGCCAGCCCCAGCTCTAACCAGCCAGCACCAGCACCAACACCATGCCAAACACTGATGAGTACCAGCTCCGTCTTTCGGGAGTGCTACCACATATTTGCAGTCCTGGAGCTATGAGTTTAGTAGATGGTAGCTTAGTACTGCAATCTATTCCAAGACCTGACCTGACCTGACCTGACCTGTCGGCCCCCAAACTGGCTTCATTCGCTGTGCAATTGGACGCTGTTGACTGCTCTTGGCATAGACTTCTCGATGAACTGGTGGAAGCGAGAATAACTGCAGAGATGAACCGATGCAATTATGATGATGATGGTGAACATGAGAAGGAGAAGCAGCCGAAACCGAAACTATTATCCGTCGGTTTTGGCCACCTGTTTCCCACCCACCTTTCAGCTACGTTAATTCCAATACCTCTTCCACTTGCCCCGATTGGTCACCTTTCTAAGCGAATCTAGATGGCACGCGGCTGTCTTCAACCCGCCCTGCTCCCCGTCCGATTGGGCGCTTGGCTGCGCTGGTTCATGTTCCTTCGAGTGATATTCTGTGATTCAAACTATCACATCTTCTCGTGAGAATAATCACCCGCCATAAAACTAAGTTCAAACCTTTATCGAGTAAGGATGCTAGATTTTACTCTAATACGGCGAGTAAAGACCTGTAACGGCCCATCCACGTTCAATGTGCACAGAAAGCAAGTCAAAATAAGTACCAAAACTATGCGTGTGAATATTGAGCTGACTACATGTATCTAGCTAGCTAGCAGCACAAACCATCCGCCACACTTTAGAAACAGAACCTCTATGAAATAAACGCCATGAATGCAGATGCAAAAAAAAATCCCCGAAAAATAGAAAAATACAACTAAGGCCTACTACAACTCAAACTTCCGCGAGTTACAAACAGGCTTGATATCTTAATGAATAACCATAAACTTATCCTATCTAACTTTGACCTAGTGTCCCTTGCCAGGAGCACCACCGGGAGGACCGCCTGGACCGCCGCCTGGACCGCCGCCTGGAGCACCACCTGGAGCACCGCCAGGACCTCCAGGACCGCCGGGACCACCAGGACCGCCGGGACCTCCAGGACCACCGGGACCACCCTTACCTCTACCGTGACCTCTCTTTCCTCCCCCTCCTTTTCCATGTTTTCCACCCCATCCTCCTCCTCCTCCTCCATGCTTTCCACCTGGACCTCCTGGACCACCACCTGGACGTCCGCCGGCTGAAGGCTCTGTGCCAGAGCCCGGAGCGCCTGGAAGAGGAGCAGCGCCTGGAGATCCGGGGGCTGGGATACCTGGGTTACCTGAAGCACCGCCGGGGGGACCCGCTGGGGCACCTCCAGGAGCACCACCTGGAGCACCACCTGGAGCACCGCCGGGGGCACCGCCTGGAGCACCGCCGGGGGCACCGCCTGGAGCACCGCCTGGAGCACCGCCTGGAGCACCGCCTGGAGCACCGCCGGGGGCACCGCCGGGGGCATCACCTGGAGCATCACCTGCGTCTGGGGAATCATCTGAACCGCCAGCAGCCTCATCTGCTGGGGCGGCCTCGCCTGCTGGAGCGGCCTCATCGGCTGGGGCAGCTTCGTCTGCGGGGGCGGCTTCGTCTGCGGGGGCTGCTTCATCTCCTGGAGCGGCTTCATCTCCTGGAGCATCGTCTGGGCCGCCAGCTGGTGCACCACCCGGGGCACCCTTGGCATCCTTTGGAGCGCTGCCGGGGGCACCGCCTGCTACATCTAGAGCGCCTGGAGCGCCTGCTGCATCTGGAGCGCCTGGAGCGCCTGCTGCATCTGGAGCGCCTGGAGCGCCCTTAGCATCCTCCGCCGCACCACCGGGAGCGCCGGCTGCTGCATCTGGGGCGCCTGGAGCACCCGGGGCACCTGGAGCGCCCTTAGCATCCTTCGGCGCACCACCGGGAGCGCCGGCTGCTGCATCTGGGGCGCCTGGAGCACCCGGGGCACCTGGAGCGCCCTTAGCATCCTTCGGCGCACCACCTGGAGCACCACCTGCTGCGTCTGGAGCACCGGCTGCTGCGTCTGGGGCGTCTGGAGCGCCCTTGGCATCCTTTGGAGCACCGCCAGGGGCCCCACCTGCTGCGTCTGGAGCGCCTGGGGCGCCTGGAGTACCAGGAGCACCAGGAGCACCTCCAGGGGCGCCTGGAGAACCGCCTGGGGCGCCTCCGGGGGCACCTTTTGCACCGCCTGCCGCATCTGGAGCTGGAGCACCTGGAGCAGGAGCACCTGGAGTACCTGGAGCACCTGCGGCACCCTTCGAATCTTTTGGTGCACCACCGGGAGCACCAGCTGCTGCGTCTGGGGCGCCTGGAGCACCTGGAGCACCTGGGGCACCTGGAGCGCCCTTAGCATCTTTTGGAGCGCCACCTGGAGCACCGCCGGGAGCACCACCTGGGGCGCCTCCAGGAGCACCCCCTGGGGCGCCTCCAGGAGCACCTTTTGCGTCCTTAGGAGCACCACCTGCTGCATCCGGAGCACCTGGGGCACCTGGGGCACTCTTAGCATCTTTTGGCGCACCGCCTGGAGCGCCCGGAGCACCACCCGGAGCACCGCCCGGAGCGCCTCCAGGAGCACCCCCAGGAGCACCCCCAGGAGCACCCCCTGGAGCACCCCCAGGAGCACCTTTTGCATCTTTCGGTGCTCCTGCTGCAGGAGCAGTACCACCCTCCGCACCGCCTGGTGCCGCTTCATCAGCCGGCGCTTCTTCGTCTCCCGGCGCTGCCTCATCGGCCGGTGCTGCATCATCACCGGCCGCCGCTTCATCGCCCGGGGCATCAGTACCGGCGGCCGCACCACCTTTCGCCGCGTCTGGTGCCGCGCCAGGTGCGCCGGCTGCTGGAGCGCCGCGGCGGAACTTGACCATCGTACCGCCAGATGTGGATACTGCTGAGGATGGTGTTAGTTAAGTCTCAAGACGGATTAAAGAAGAGGAGTTAAGGACTTACATTCACTGCGTCTGTAGCTGGGCGCTCCGGTCTGTTCGAGTCTGTTGTTTTCCCGCCATTCCTTCGAGGCGGGGGCTGCGGATACTGTTACCGTTTGGAGGCAGGTAAGGCCGAGTAGTGTGATTGGGGCAAGGAATTTCATTTTGGGGTAATTAAGGTAATGACAGGAATACTGGTTTTATCAAAAAACGCAGAGTGGGAAAGACCTGAAAGGTCGGGTTTGGAAAAGAGTGTGTATAAAAGAATGAAAGAATGTAATAATTAAAAGAGCGAAAAATGAGCCAGCATTAATCAGTGATAGGCCTGGTATATGATATAAGAAAACCGGAGCAAGATGAAGTTCCAGGTGTTTGATTACACTAACAACGGGGGGAAACAATCATATATATACGGCTAGAACAAATGATGTGCATCTCCAGTCGGAGAGCGCTCGATTACTAACAATTGCAGTCGACACCGAGTCTGGGCGATCATGTTTGAGGACCAAGAGTGACATTAAAGCTTGTCCGCACAGCAAGGCCAAGGTGAACGGCTTGGTAGATGATCCATACCTTCCACCGCGGCGTATGTAGTGGTTTATGCGTATTTCACCCCACATCGATACTTGCAGTCCGGTGAACAAGAAGTTATCCGGCGAAGCCTACGGGTCCGCCCTATATGGAATGTATTATTATATGGGTTATCTGAATACCCTTACTCTTCCCCGATAGCGGCAATGTGCGGCACTGGCCCGAGAGATATATATATGCGCTCCGGAGCCTCAGAAGTGCCCGGGTTCGGACTCGCGGTCCGTTTCAGCCTTATTACTGCCTTGAACTATTCCTTGGTAAACAGTACACCGGAGATCACGTGAATCCAGGGGTTATTCGCAAATCCAATATTGATCAACAGCATTTAAACCGAGAGTAGAAATTCCAAGAGAACATAACACAAGTCTTCGTTATTTCTTATGTATCAGGATGTCCTGCATGCCTCACTAAATCTTATGTTGCCTTCAAACGTGGAGCAGGACACATACAGTAGCGATCTGTCACCGAAGAATAGACTGTGACGTACTGTGAATGTATATATAAACTTGTATTACTGCGATCATTATCAACAATGTATATGTAACGCAATGGGTCATGATCAAAAACCTGCACATCGAGATGGTTGTAAGGATCCCTTGACCGTCGGTAGACTTACGAAGCACCCAGAAAACAGCAGCTGCTTAAAGGCACAGATGTAAGGCCACCTAAACAGGTCGTGATTGAATGCAGATTGCTTATTGTACTTTGTGTTTACCGACCATTTCCTCCCGGGGGGTGTGGCGTGAATGACAGTTCATCATTAAGCGAATAACAAAAGTCGAGTACGGTACGGTAAGGGACGAGGCGGAGATCCTGGTACTTTTTTCCCAGGGTCGTACTGTGTCTACAGCAGCAGCGAGCTGGTCTGGTCTAGAATCCTACATATGTGACGTAAATACAATAGAAGCCTTGGGTTTTGAGCAATTTTCGGTGGTTTCGAGCACTCGATACTTGCGTCTTCTGATGCTTTTTTAGGGACCTGGCCAGTTGCAACGATATCCGACGACTCAATAAACGCGCTAGTAGTGCGACTTCTGAGTTCTAATCGAACTCCAGGATGGTGTAGACTGCATGATGCAGGTCTCTGGATAAATAATGTGGGGGTTTGGGTTTTCTTCTTCTTTTTTTTTTTTTTCAAGAGATGAAGCTGGTCAAAGAGGCGGATGAGGTTGAACGTGGAAAGGCAGATACATCTCGTGGAATGCACGTGTTTCACTGTTTTATCCCGGCTACACGTGTTTTCTGTAGCCAACCTTATTCAACTAGTGCGTGCTGCTACTTGACATTTCAACCATAGACTCCCAAAGGCCACGAAACAACCCCTCCAAACAACCCCTCCAAACAACCCCTCCAAACAACAAAACACCACAAAATCAAACAAACTTACTTCTGCATCCCATCGATCACTCTTTTCAAAACCTCGTTATCAACCCTACACCCCGAACCCTCTGCGTCACTCGGATAGCAAAACCCATTCCAGAGCTCAAGCACAATCTCAAACATGTCCTTATGTTCCTGCCGCTGCGCATTTAGAGCCTTTAAGAGTGCATAGGCTTCTGTGCAGGGCGTCGTGTTCTTATTTGACGTCCGACAAGTGTCTGAACAAGCGCCTGGTGTTGTGGTTGGTGGTGCTTGTAGCGAGGAGGGTGTTTGCGAGTCTACGGTTGTGAAAGCCGGACTAGACTCCGCCTGCTGGGCTTGTGTGGTAGTAATGGTGGCGCTCTCGTCTCCCATTGGCAAGGAAAAGTCAAACTGGAGAAAACGATCATTAACAACCAAACACAAGCTACAAAAAATTTGAGGCAAAATGGCTTTTTTACCGGCTGCTCAATGAATTCGGAAATGTCAAACATATTATCAAAGTCTTGGATTGGCTCCATCAAACTCATGGAAAAGTCTGGGGTTTCGTTAACAGCAACTGCTGTGGCAGGGCCGGCAGCAGCAGCATCAGCCCCGAATTCCGGGATATCGATATCTAGATCTAACTGCGACAGATCTAGAGATTCGATCCCCGGTGGTACAGCCGGTGCATCACTTTTTGCCTCCAACCCTGTTGTTATTCTGGGGAAATTGAAGTGCTGCTGCCCAGCACCACCAAACCCTTCCACTGAGCTTGTCCCGACACCACCACCACCACCACACCCATTATCAGGCACCACTCCACCACCACCACCATCACCGCCAGTCTCATTGCCACTTGCAGTACTCCCAGCTCTGAAGCCTCTCAACCTTCTCTCCACCTCCTCCCTTCCAACACCAAGCTCGGCCAAAATTTCTCGCAACATATTATTCTCCTCAATGACCTTCCTCGCCGCTCTCTGCAGCTCCACATCCGCCTGGACACCCAGCTCCTGGCATCTCTTCCACCTCGCCTCCAAGTCCTCCAAGTACTCTCTCCTCCGGGCGCGAGAGCGGCGCTGATTTTCACGGATACGTTGGAGGCGCGGATCCTATATTATGTGTGTAACAAAACAGTCGAGTCAATTGTGGTGCTTCAATAATAATAATGGGAGAATCGGGGCGGGGGGGAGGATGTTGGATGAACAGGGCAATAGGGCACGTGCTCATTTACCTCTTTTGAACCGCCTCCGTCACTGTCGGTTGTTCTTCGGGAAGCCATGGATCTGGAGCCTAGAGTCACTATCACAACTGCCTTACCTGCTTCCCACAGCAGGGCAAAAAAAAATCAAGCTGTGTGAGAAAAATGAGGAGTGGTACAGAGTGGGGGGACCAACCAAAGCCTCCAAGTGACATTCCGCTTGGGTCTTTGCTTAGTCAGCGTTCACTTGGGGCGCGGGCCAAGGCACAAGTGATAGTGGTGAGGGATAGTAGCAAGATTGATCATTGGCCTTGAGGCATACATTTGGAACACATACATGCAAGTCAGTAGGGGACTATCGGGTAACAGCAGCTCAAAGATATTGCTTTTCACTGTGGTGCTCGCCGGTACCAAATGCCGTACCCACGCCGGCAACGTGCTTGATTGTTTGGCTCCGACTCTACCCCTAACCCTATGGAATATATACCCTAACCCTTAAGCTCCCGGGGCCAGTGACATTCCCATGCATATATTGCGACAGCTAGCAAGCAGATTAGGCTAGCAGCTACTTAACGGAGGTCCGTCACAGCCTCTTGGTACCCGCTATCTTAATTATTCATCTTCGGTTTCCTCAAAGCTATATACATCTATAACTATGTCAACACCACTCGTCCAAGCCCAGTACGGCAGCTATGCAGCGGCTCAGACAGAAAAAGATACCGCCTACAACGAGCGTGTGGCTAGTGCGTTTGGATACACGACGGAGGACCTTGTGAGCATCCCGCAGAACGCAAATCTGGGCGTTAGTTGCGGGAATCCGATTGCTATGGCGGGTCTGAAGGAGGTATGCATGCGTTATTGATGGCATATGTGCCACTGGGTGCTCTAGATATTGGCTGCTAATTATTCTACTGCTTTCTATAGGGAGAGGTGGTCATAGATATGGGTTCTGGCGCCGGCATGGACGTCTTTATCGCTGCCCGCAAAGTCGGGCCTACCGGAAAGGTCATCGGAATAGACATGACACAGGTCTGTCCCCCTTCCACCCCGCTCCCAAAGGCAAACCCAGTACTAACACCCCTTCCAACTCCAGGAAATGCTCGACCTCGCCACCAAAAACGCCCTCAAAGGCAACTACTCCAACGTCGAATTCGTAGGCCACCTCCTTTCCCCCTTCCCCCCTTCCTCCCCCTATAGAACACATAGCTAACCCCTCTAGATCAAATCCTACATCCACTCCACCCCCACCCTCGCCGCCAACACCGCCAACGTCATCACCTCAAACTGCGTCCTTAACCTCCTCCCCCCCGCACAAAAGCCCGCCGTCTTCACCGAGATGTTCCGCCTCCTGAAGCCCAGCGGGCGCGTTGCCGTCTCGGACATCCTCGCGCGCAAGCCGCTGCCCGAGGACATCAAGGCGAGTGCCGCACTCTACATAGGCTGCGTCGGCGGCGCGAGCCTCGTGGAGGAGTATCAAGCGTGGATGAAGGATGCGGGGTTTGAGGGTGTGTATCTACCCAAATAACTAGCTGCGGTGAACGGTGCTGACGGGCGGTGGTAGATGTGGTAATCGTGGACACGAAGAAGGACCTCAATATCTACAAAGAGGGTATCATCAACGTTTCCGGCACCGACACTGACGCCGGCGAGAAGAAGAAGAGCTGCTGTAAGCCCGCGCCGAAGGCGTGTTGCGGGGCGCCAGAGGTGACATCGAATGTGGCCGGGATTGCGGATTATGATCTTAACGAGTTTGCGGGTATGTTCATCGATGCGTAGTGGGCGTTATGGTATTGTGACTAACGAGCGGGTGTGGTGTAGGCGCGTTCCAGATCTACGCGGTGAAGCCCGCTGTGGCTGCGTAGGTGCGTAGAGTGCGTTGAGGGGGGTTGTGGTTAGCTGTTAGCTGTTAACTGTTTGAGGGCTTATTTCTTTTTTTATATGTACGTGCTGCAGTAGGATAGCTCAAGAGATGCTTTAAATGTCAAAAATTCACCCGTAGCTTTAGACTTTGTGGTAGTACCCATATCCATCATGAACTATCACTCGGCACCAACAGCCCCCTCGGATGCCAGCACTAGCGCCTCCCCTCCTCCATCACGAGCCTCAAACAATGACGTATATATACAGATAAAAAAATGCGTAGGCACAATAAAATGTTCCAAAAAAATAGTGAGAAAAATTAAACCCCCTTACAAGGTCTAACTAAAAAGTAACAAAAAGGAGAGGCATCCCGCTCTGCTCCTTTCAACCCAGTCACACAGTGTTTCCACCAAGCCTGGGAGGTGAATCAAACGACCGACCTCGGCCCCTCTGGGCGACACCATAGCTACTGAGCTACGGGGGTAGATGGTATGAAATAGCCCAGAGTGTACCTAACAAACCTCCCACCTGACTACAAGTACCCACTTACGTCATCACCCCCCGCTCCCCCAAATGTAGACAAACCAAGTGAGTGATAATCTATGCATGAGAATCCATATTCTAGTAAACAACATCTCGCGCCCCTTCCCCTTCCCCGAATACCATTTACCATTATAGCATTGTCGTGAATTACAAGATATTACCAACCAACCACGTTCACGTCGTTGTCGTAAAGAAAGAAAAGAAAGAAAAAGAGAAGAAAAAAAAGCGAAGAAAAGAAATGAAAAGAAACAAGACCGTTTTCTCATACACCCCAGCCAGCCTAGCCCCCGGCCAGAAAGAACGATACCGATACTCCCAGAAACGACCTAAAAACAAACCACAACAAAAACACTGTAAATCAAAAACAAAAGCAAAAAGTCTATATACCCCCCATCCCCTCAAGTCCTCCTTACCATCTCCTCGAGCACACTCTTAAACTCCCCGCCCAACCCCCACACCCTCATCCTCCCCAAGATCCCCACCACAACCCTCAACACCTCTCTCGCGCCTCTCTCCGAGCATATCTCCGTCATCGCGTTCCCATCCGGATCATCATTCCCAATCGTCGCCTTCTTCCCGCCATTGCGGATCCACTCCTCAGGGCAGTACTCGCCCGCGCCCTGCACGCCGCGCGTCCACGGGTGCGAGTCCAGCCTCACAATCTGCTCCTGCATGCCTCGGATGGGTGAATTTGGGGCGCCGGAGTTGGCGGTGGTGGCGGTGGTGGGCTCGCGGAAGTAACGGCCAAAGCCCCAGAGGACGACGCCGGCCATGAAGATGCGCATCCCCTCGACGGGGGAGAAGACTGGCTTCCAGCGCGAGATGGCGATGATCTGCGCCGAGTTCCAGGCCAGGGTGCGCGCGTAGACAGGGTCGCTGGAGAAGATGGTTTTGAGGCGGGCGATGCGAGGGTCGGCGCCGGTGTCGGCGGAGGAAGGGGGGCGCCGGGCGAGGGAGAGAATGAGGGAGATGGTGGGGAAGGCGGCGTGGAGATGGGTGTAGTGTGATATCAGGCATGCAAGACTATTTGGATCATTGTCAGTAAAATACCGCGGCAGCACCTGAGGCAGAAAGAAAGACTTACATCATATGCACCCTATCGCCATCCACCTCGCCATCCCTTATGCCTCCGTCTATCTGCTTCTTTTGAATCGACTCACACAGCGTCATCAACGACTTCAGGAGTGTGTCCTTCGCCGGCTTCAACCCCGGACCGAACATCGGCAACCCTAACCCACCACCGTTGGTAGTACTAGTGCCGCCAACGCTCAACACACTTTCCTCTATTTCCTTAAAGTCCCACAATATTCTCCCCAGAGCTTGAGCGCACAACCTCTTGCCCCAACTTGTAAGATTATCTGGCGATATCTTCTCCGAGATGACATCCCGCAGCGTGGGAAAGAGCAATGTTCCCCTCTCCACACAAGGCAACTGTGTAGAGTGCTTTGGCTCCAGGAGCGCAGCCCACGCCTGCGCGTTCGGCGCTTCCCAGAGCGCCTCGGAACAGGGTATGCGCGTCGAAATATCGTTGAGGGTTATGGCGCCGCGGCGGTTGGATAATGTGGAAAATGAACAATCGTATTCAAAGATTGACCAGGCGAGCCGTCTCAGCTCTTCCTGTTTCCGCCATGCGTTCCAGCGGGCCTCAAGCTGCTCGTTGGTGTCTCGGGAAAGAGGCGTGTCCTCGATATGGGGCCGGCCTGGGGAATTTGGTGCCGAAGACGGCGATGATGCTGGCGGCGAAAGGGTCCCAGAGAATAAGCCAATACGGCGGGCATTACCAATCAGAAAACTTCTAGAGACGTCTGCAGAGTCATAAAGACGGTGGGAGCCCGAGCCTAACGCATAAACGCTCTGAAGGCATAAGGCTTTGAGGTAGAAATCCGAGCGCGGATATTCTGGGTTGTATTCGGCCTGATTGAAACTAGTGTTAGCAATCAAGTTATACCAGAGACCTCACGGGATTATATGTCTTACCATCCAGGCTAGGGTCCTTTTGCAAAGCTCGCTCAATGTATCCGCAAAGACCTTGGCACCCTCGACATTACTGTAACTAGCTCCAATACTTGCCATCGAGACCAGCACAATAGTTGGGCACGTCGCAACACTAAACGTCGGCCTATGGATCATTGGCAAGTTTGAATGAAACTGCTCGAAATACAGCGTGATAAACCCATCAAGCATCTTCTTTGGCGGGAATCTACTCATATCTGCACTCTCGTAGGGATACCTCTCATACGGAATAGACAGCAATTCGACCATATCAGTCCTGATCCTCTCATCCAAGCCGCCATCCTTACCTGCAGGTACTGAGTCGGCGCGCTGAGAAGTAGCCGGGGCCGTGTACTCCTCCAGGATTTGCCTGAGCGGAGGCAGAGTTACACGACGCTTCGGCTCCTCTCGACCCGACTGCCAGCCCCATGGTAGGAAGTCTTCGACGGAGGAAAGGTCTTTGATTGGACTGACTGATGGTAAGCGTGTCTGATGATCTTCTCGGTGTTTAGGACAATACGTTGTTGAGCCTTCGTCAGAGCACGCTGATCCAGGCGCTGCCGGCGAAACAAAAGGTTTTGAGCTTAGCGGTAACACAGGGCTCGGAACTCGTCCCGGCGCAGTAGTACCAGCAGGGGGTGGGGCAACAGTACTGAGATGTCGTTCTGAAAATGTGCCGTTAATTCCCGTGTTATCTTGAGCTGAGGAATCATCACCCCAGCCTCTCAGCCAATCGGTGGTAGTATCAAAGATCCCAAAGTCGAAAAACCAATTATCATCGTTTTCCAGACCTGGCAAATCATTACCGTAACCTGGATGGTTATCCTCTGGTTTCGACCCGCCTAATTGAATCATATCGATGTTTCCACCCATGTCTTGCTGTCCTACTAATGATCCAAGATTTCCAGTCTGGAAAGTCCCAGAATTCTGCCGCATTTCTGTCTGTTTTTGAGTATAGTCTACCGTAAAAGATACTGGGGGGTATTCCTGAGGTCTTTGATTTTCCTCTGGCACATCGTTTACAAACGAACTGATATCTACAGACTTTGAAGCCTGCAGGTTTGGAAAGTGCCTCGGCGGTGACCGCGACGGAGGAGATACAGGAGGGAACCCTTGCAAGGTTTTTGCTGCGCGCAAATCTTCTTCAGTAACGGCTTCAGACCCGGTACCAAGCCAGGAGGGCAACTCACCCAGAGTGGCCGGAGTACTGAAGTTGTCTCTAAAATCACGAGGTGATAGCAGAAGTGGTTCTGGGCGCTTAGTAGCGCTTATTGAAGCCTTCTGTGGCTGGTAATACTCATCCCGTCGGTACATGGATGTATTTGGCGACTGGGGCACTATCGCAGGCTGAGATGGGGGAGATTTCAGGGGTACTTGGGGCTTTATTCCAAATACTGGAATATCAACTGATAGTGGTACTTTCTGCGGAGTCTGTGTGCCACTACTTGGCTGCGACCCATCAAGACTTGGAATCGTTCCATAAGTGTTTGTGGTCATCAGCGACATCAGTTGATCGGCCGACGATAACTCCGCAGTGTGGTCACCACTAATCAAATTCTTCAGGCTAGCCGCCGAAGCCGACGCCGAAGCCGACGACCCCGACCCCGACCGCGCACCCTGGCTCCCACTCTCCGACGCCATTCTTGCCGCCGACAACAGATGCGGCGACACCCTGCGCCCCCCATCCTCAAACACCGTTTCGTATCTCTCTTCCCCGACCCTCCTCCTCTTATGTGCGCCCCCATTCCCGTCCTCTTCCGACACCTCCGAGCCAAAATCCAGCAACTCGTCCTCCGCGCTCGTCTTCGGGCTCTCCTCCGCCTCTTCCACCGGCGCCCCGAAATCGTAGATGCACACTGCACCCCGCTTCTTGCATGCCTCGCACGGATCCTCTGCCCGGCCGCCCTCTCGCGTGCCGTTCTTGCCTGTGCCCCGGCCGCCGCCGGAACACTTGATTTTGAAGCCGGCACAGCGCCTGCAGCTGCGACGCCGGCTCTTCCGCACGTCGGGGCGCTTTGTCTCGTGCACGGCACGGATGTGCCGCGTTAGTACGTCCTTGCGTGTAAACCCTTTGGAGCACGACTGGCAGACGAAGGCCTTGGACGTGTTGGAGGGCATGTGGGTGGTTAAGTGACGGTCGAGATGCTCTCCGCGGGAGAAGGAGCGGGAGCAGGATGGGCAGGTGTGGGTTGCCTTTGCGGGGGAGGTCCCCGTGGTGGAAGGGGAGGAGGTCATGGTGGGGGAGAAGGAGGGCGGCGAGGGATTGGAGGTTGTTGGTGAGTGGGTGAGATGGAGAGGGACAGGTGCGTGGGCCATTGGGCGCTGGACAAGCCTTGTTCTTCCTTTTGGCTGCTGGGGTAGCTATTGTGATATCGATTGTGCTTCTGAATAACTAGGATACTCTATGGTCTGCGTGAGTGAGTAAGTGGGCGAGTGAGTCAGTTAGTTATCAGTGGCTGAAAATCCCATGCACTCACCATCCAGAGGCCGGGAGAGACAACATACATATATATTCGCCACGATAGAGCTCTCAACTCCCACCACCACAGCTCTATCAGGGTGGCCGTTCCAAAAAACACTTTCTCCGGTGCAATGATCGTCAAACATGAAACGCCCACACAAAAAAATATAGAGAGAAAAAAAAAAGGCGAAACCCCTGGCAATCAATCAAATATCCACTTGAATGTCAATCACTCAATCAATCAATTGTCTGTGAGTGACCTAGGTACGTACGGTTAAACTCAAGCCCGCCACATTGGGGAATGGGGTGCATTACGGTACCTTAATGGAAGCCAAGAACACGTATGTGGAATGGGGTGAGTTTTCGAAGGGGGAAAGAGATATGGAGATTTGGCGGAACCTCGCTCTCGCTCTCGACCCTGATCCTAATGAGGAAAAGGCCAGCTGTGGGAAAAAAGCGGGGTATAAAGATGTGTAGCTCCAAGAAGTCTTGGGGGAAGTGAATACGGAGTGGAGATGAGTGGAGTGAGTGATACTCTGTGCCCCCCGAGATTTTTTTGCTACTGTCCGGACAACTGGAGACTGGCCGTTTTGGTCAATCGGATATCCAGCAGGCTCTCCCGCGATGTAACGTAATTAAAGTAACTTCTCGTCTCCGGACCGGCAAAACCACTGACTAGCCAGACAAGGTGTTAGACGTTATCCCAACCCCCAAATATGCTGCAATATCGTAAATTCTCCGCTGAGGAATACACAAAAGAGCAGAGAAGCAGACTAGACGTGGCACACAAGAAGAGAGAAATGATGCGATGAGGTAGGAAACCAGAAAGAAACCGCAGATCAATGCAGGCTATTTTGCGCTGTTCAGCACGTCCCGGAAGAAGACGGGGGTAGTGGGGGGGGGGGGGGGGGGTTCTTTAGAGTAACTAGAGCAGAGCAGAATAGAGCAGAATCAATCCTGCCTGACTTCCGCATACCCTTTTGGAAAACGGATCTAGCAATGTGGGGGGTGATGAAGGGGAGCACTTACAGAAAGACAAATTTGGATGGCGTTGATTACTACTTCCTGCCACAATGTGTGTTCCTTAACCTTGGCTCTTTCCCTATCCTTCTTCTATGTACTGAACCTTTTCCGGATTCAATCCTATCTAGTCTCAACAACCTGCAGGAAGCCAATTCCTTATCACACCCCTCAGGTACCCAAGCTTTATTAAAAACTTGGCTCTTTCTCAGGGCTTTACACTCCGACAACCGGTAAATTCTCCGGGTGTGTGGGGAGGGTCCCTGGTATTACTGACGGCTTGTCGGGAGAGTTGTCCTTTAAGCCTTCGATAGATGCAAGCAATGTATATGAATATCGCGGGGGGGGGGGGGGAGGTTAGTGACGGGTAGTGTAGACAGGGGGGGAGTGTTGATTATTGTCACAAACAGCAATGCTATTTACTCGCTACTCACCTTATCCAGGACGAATGAGAACGAGTGATTGATTGTATTCTATAGAAGGGAAGGGATGGTGTGTGGGTGTGTGAGTGGGGGGGGGGTTTTGGGGGGGGAGCAGATGCCTCTTGCGATATCTTTGATGATTGGGAATTGGGGTGTGCAGTTTGGTTTGGTTTGGTGAGAAATTCTGCGCTCGACGCTCTGATTGGGCGAGATGCTAAAGTATCCAATGAGAGCGCACTACGGAGATGTAGCGCGCGCCCCCCAAAAAAGAAAATGGGGAAAAAAAGGTGGGATGGGATGGAAACTGGGCACGGCGGCGGTCAAATTACGGACTGTCGGGACGAAGAAGTCAGCTTAAGGAGTGCAGCGCACGGATTTCCACAAGCTTGGCAGGAACCCGATGTCTTTTTTCTGCGCCGCCACAATGGGGGGCCGAGTGATGGATGTGGTGTTGCGGCAAAAGTCGCGATAGTTCCTTGCCCCACAATTGATGGAGGAAGGGGGAATGGGAAGATGGATTATATGTTGCACTGATGTCTGACAGGGCACAGACAGACAGCTATCAATGAATCACTGAAGTCAACTCCGCTCCTCTGCTTAATAATTCGCGCGAATTCTCGCGTGTCTGCGCGGTATACCCCCCCGGGAGAACGTTGCTGCTGCTGCTGCTGTCCTCTGTCCTTAAAGGGAATTCGGAAGGAAGTATCTCCCTTTCTGGACCGTAAGCAGAAAGCTTATCCCGAGATAGTTGTGGCGATCCTCTCTCTCTGCGGAGGTACCTTTCAACGCGTTTGATTGAGGGCGTGGGATGTAGATTTGGGGATTATCGCGGAGAACGTTTTGTTCGTTCGTTGAGTAGTAAGTAGCCAAGAAATGCAAGGGCAGGCTTGCAGGCCCTGTACCTTTGGAGGAGAGCAAGTATGCCCTAGAAATGTGGGGTTGATCAAACCGGAATTGTAAGCCGGCAAAGGCGATAACGAAGGGCAAGGTCCTGGAGTAAGTTGCAGGTAAGTAGAGTAAGTGGGTCGACTTTCTCTCTCTCTCCCTTTCCTTCACTTGTCCCTTCTTTCATTACCCCCCGTTGGATCATGGAAAAGAGATGATGAAGGTGCGGCGAAGTCATCATTACTCTGGTCGACGATGGCCAATCGGAGTAGCCAGCGGGGAGAGCGTGGTGGCCGGTCGGAGATTTTTCCCGCACCGACCGTTGCGGATCGACGTAAATTGGCGCGCGCAGTGCCGCACCCTTGGACGAGCGAGAGGGAGGCTGCGGGAGTTAATTTAGTGATTTGAAAATTGCTCGCAGGGGAGCTTTCTATTCAAAAACTGGATCACCATTTGAGTTATCGGGAGAGTACTAATATGACAGAATCACGGCAATTAACTGCAGCTCATGATAACTGGTAACTGAAAATATAATATTTCATCTCCCAGCAATTCCAGCAAGTTGACCTGCACAGAATAGAGACGATAGATAGTGGATACTAGAGGGAAGCAGGGTTGGGAGGCTTAAATACCGGTACATGAGGTTCTATGTAGAGTAATATCTAACAGCCTGATCATGGCCGGTCACTTGTCCCTTTAGGGAAACGTAATGCGAATGCGGAGGAGCATCGCGAAGTCGAAACCCCAGAAGAGCCCCATGGAAGATTCTGCAGGTTGTTCCTCCAGCCAGCCCCCACGCACCCTAGGGCTTAGGGCTATATATCTATTTAAATTCAACCTCCATGCAACTACACCTTGTAGGTTCTATTCTTCCTGTGCTGCTAGCTCGCTGCTGCAGCTGTGCAACCCCTCATCTCCGTGACAACTCTACATAACTCCTAAATTGAACCGGTTTCACAACAGTCGGATACAATCAATTCGGAACGACTAGCCTGCATTTGGGCCCGGACCTGGGAGGCTAGAAGCCTGGATACATAGATGGAAGGAGGGGGATCGCCTTGGTTACGGGATGGACAGACAGCGGCATATGAGGTACATTGTTACCTCGTTCTCAATGCAGGCCAGACACCGGCGCGAGCTTGTCTTGTCACCCGCGTCATACAAACAAGACTTTCGGAACCATCTAGATGTGGACGATCACCCTCTGCCAATGTCCATGGCATCACAGCCAATTTAATCACTCGGGAACTGCACTAGTTCTTCCCCGCGAGTGATCAAACATGATGCACTGACAGCTACCTACAACAATGGTGGGGGGGAGGGGTGATTGATTGATTGCTTGGCCAGAGCAATATATCAGGTCAGGCAGACTGTTCTGGAAAGAAACATATCCCCGTGAATATCAACCAGACTCTCTCGGAGTGACATTCAGCATCCCGGATTAGCGAGGTCGCGGGGCAGCATATACGTACCGAAATATTAATGCAAAAACGCACCCGGCCTCCTAATTAATATAGGATGACATATCGGGTGGTAGGCGCAAACAACGAGTTTTGTCTCTACCTGGGTGGATATAAATACCATATACGCAGACAATGCTTGATCCCTGCACCACAGCTGCCACCACCATCACCACCATCACCACAACAATCAGCATCAGTATTTCAGCGTTGCTGAGATGCACTGAGTTCCATGCATCTATCCAATATACTCTCCATATCCACCCCTTCCTGATCTGCAGGGGCACACACAACATCGGAACCTGCCATGCCTGCCGCCATCCAGCCAGCCATGGCAAGTCATCGCATAAACCCTAATTAAATATCAGGGAATTTTAAAGAGGACATACGTAACGGGACCCCAGATCGATCTCCCACTCGAAACCGGAGACATCCAGACGGAAAAACGTCGCGATATCTCCGACAAGATATCAAAATAGAACACGGTCCCTGCAAGGCTCGCAGGCCCGTCCATGAAACACGAAAAAAAGAAACGAAAAAGAGAAGAGAAAGAAAATCTAATAATGTTTTTTTTTTCATATCTTCATTCTTGAAACAGCCTTTGATCCGATCTTCGCTTTATTTTTATTGAACAGACCATGGTTGATTTATGAGATGGCGTGATGTCGTGATGCACATACAGTACAGCTACGTGGGGTTGTTGTTGTACGGTAGTGTTTGGGTTTCAGAAATATGTACAACATGCGCAAACATATTGGGGGGGAGCTTATTCGAGTCGTCTCACTCACGAGACGATATCCTACGGAAATGAAAATGTCAACTTTGTTTTTCAACGTCGGATATGTACGGGGTCAGCCAGATTAAGGAGTACGATGGAGAAGGCATGTAATTGGAATGATGAGTTGTGCTATACTGGACTGGAGGTGTTGAACAAGCGCTTGGCTGTTAGTATCACTGGCACGCTGATAGATTGGTGTAGCAAGCTAGACCTGATCCTATTCCAGTAGCGCAAGCTCTTTAGCAACGACAACGACACCCAAGGTAGAATGCCCAATAACGATAACCATC